GAGTTTACTCGGACGAGAAAAGGGACTCGACAGAGCGTACAAGAAAGGTCGGTAGGTGACCACAAACACAGCGTGCAGGTGCTGAGTCCGGCAGGTCTTCAAGTCGCTGCTACTCTGCCTCCTATGGCGACTGCTTCTGCAGCACCTTCCCCCGCTGCTGGTGCTGTGGCTCCTCCTCCGCTCTCTCGTGTTGTGGCTGCAACAACACCTGCTGCTCTGGCCGGGACTCCTGCTGTGCCCGTGACTTCTCCTCTCCACTCTCCTGCTGTGGCTGCAACAACACCTGGTGCTGCGGGCGGGACTTTTGCTCTACCCTCTCCTGCTACGGCCGTAACCCCTCATTTACTCTCTCCTGATGTGGCTACAACTTCACCTGCTGCTGCAAACGTGACTTCTCCTCTACTCTCTCCTACTGCGGCTGCAACTGCACCTATTGCTGCTGACGTGACTCCTCCTCTACTCTCTCCTACTGTGGTTGTGGCTCCTCCTCTACCCTCTCCTGACGCTATGATTGAGACTGCTGCTGCTGCTGCTATTGCTGCTGCTGTTGTGCCCTCTCAAACCGCTCCCGCTCCTCCCCCTCCAACATGTCTAGACATTGCACACGGGTCAGGTTTCGTTCAGTGCACGGTGTAGGCGTTGTAGTGCCCGTTTCTCGGGCTCCAGCAACCCCGGAACCAGAACCTCCAGCAACGACACCTTTGATGTCTCCAGTACCTTCCGCACGAACACCCGGGGTCTCTGCAGCGACCAGCCGCAGACACGAACGAGGAGAGAACTCTGGGACAGACGGGAAGCCATGGGCTGAGGCGGGGCTAGGCTACCAAGTCGAGACAGCCGTGTCTTCCACAAGAATGGTCTCCACCCTCCTCCATGCACCTCAGAGCCAGCACCACCAGGTCCAGCAGCCCCAGTACAGCAACTACATAAGGAGCTAGCATGCAAGATGGTTGACTGACAGAGCAGCAAAGTCGACCGCGTGCCAGCACGACTTGGTCGATCGCGCTCCAGCAGTGCTAGGTCGCGGTCTGCCAATTCTATAGGTCGACGGCGTGCCAACACTGCAGCAAGGTGGCTGCACAACGTTGCTCCCGCAGGACTTTAGTGCACCCGCTTCGCAGGTGCTCGCAGCTGGTTGGCGTGCTGTGCCTCGTCACTCCACAGCGCAGACGCCACTCCCACCGCGGCCTACGTCGGCACCTGATCCTCCACGTCGATATCGAGATACCGCCGCCGAGGTCGACCTTGCTATTAGTACCTGGGCGATTGTCGCGCCCCTCCGAAGAACTTCGGCAGCCGGGTAACTTGGTCGACCAGGAAACCTCTAGGTCGGCGTCGACTTCTGCGGGGAAAATTAAAAATGTGCTCGTCGACTGCCCAAGTAGGCAACCACCAGCCGACTTCAACAAATCGGCCACTCCCCAGGTCGGCGTCACCATGTCGACGCCTCCGAGGTCGACCTCGCCAGGTCGACCACCCGAACTCGGCGTCCACCGAAGTAAGCGCCCCACCGAGGTCGACGTCTCCCCTCGTCGACCATCAGGCTGAAGTCTGCCACCAGCTCCCCGAAGTCGGCGGCTCTGCTGTGGCCCCGTGTAGGTCGACCACACCTGTCGACCAGCTCGCCCAAGTCAGAGTCGCCAACTGCTGCAGGTCGGCTGCACTCCTCACACTCGACCACGAAGTCGGCTCCGCCCAAGCAAGGACGGGGCCTTTCAGAACTCCCGTTGACAAACGGCTTATTTGCGCCAGGGGCGCGAATGTGGGCCAGTGAGCCAAAGACTCGATAGCCAGCTGCTACCGCTCAGCACTGTCCAATGGAAGACTGGCGTCACCTGTGGCCGTGCGTCACTGGGCCACAGGTTCAGCTGGTGTGCATCGTAGCGGACTGCCTAAGGCTACAAGAACTAGGGGGCACCGGCATGGCACATGGAGGTCCGGGCGACCTCCATGACCAAGCTGGTGCATCGCTCGGCAACCTTGTTCTGCTGCGGTGAGGCCAGTAGCGTGTAAGACCGGATGATCCCTCGACCCTGACAAAACGTCTCTTATGAAGTGGAAGAAAACTCACCATCATGGTCCGAGTGTTTGCGGAGCCCGTACAGACCCCTCTCGAGTAGCCACGGCTCGAGGACGGTAGGCACGTTGGCCTTCCGTCGCAAGGGGAAAGCAGTGGTGTAGCGGGAGTAGTCGTCCACCACAACCACGAAGTATCGCTCCCGACGTTGGCAAAGGACCTAAAAGTCCTTGAGTTCAAGAAAATTTATTTATTGAGTTCTTGAAGGTCCACTGCGCACACCTGCGACACGCCGAACGTTCTACACACGACAAAATAGCAAAGCGCACAAGACACGCAAATGACGACGTGACACGCGACTAGCGATAACTCGCTATTGACTCGACACACACATTCAACATCATGACTCATCATTCACACACTATTCTATATTACATATTATCCCATGCCCTCATACACACACACGCACACACGCATGCACGCACAAGGACAACAAGCCGAGTGCAAACCATGGGGTTGCACCAATACTGAGTCTACCGACCCGTTCTCCGTCTACCTCGGTGCCTCTCATCCTTTTGTCTCCCGGGTTTTGTCCTCGTTGGTCACTCAACCGACTGCCCTTCCGTTGTCTGTCTCGGCTCTCGTTGCTACTATCGCTGGCTTTGCCTCGTCCTAACACCTTGACTACGCCTCCCATATGGTGAGCGGCCCTACTCGTTCTCCGTCTTGCAGGGGTCAATCTGTCTTTCCCCTTGAGGTCATGGAGTACAGGCAGTTTGAGCTTGGTTTCCTTGAAGCCGTAGTTCCTCATCTTTGTGCCATGCTGCTTACCCCTGAGGGGGATTTAGACGTCCTTGATATCCCGATTCATTGCACTTACGCCGAGGCGGTCTCGCGTCCCTGGGCTGTAGATGCAGAAATGACATCTTATAAGTTGACAGGCACCTACGTCGACGTCGTCCCACCACCTAGGGCAAAAGTCGTCAGTGGTATGTGGTACAAGGTGAAGCGACCGCTTGGAGCATGTGGCATAAACTGTATTCAGGGTGCGCTATGTGGCGAGAGGCTTCAGACATCGAGAAGAGGTAGACTTCTTCCATACTTTCGCTCCCCCCCACCCCGAAGATGACCACTCTTTGGGTGTTGCTGCACATTGTCGCCCAGCGCGAGTACGAGTTGCACTCCAAGGACTTCTCCACCTTCAAGGAAGCTAGCACAAGCAGATCTGGTTGCGTCATCCACCTGGCTTCACTGGCTGTTTCCCTCCTAGGACCCAAGGGCAGCTGCGTCAACTGGTCTACGGCCTGCGCCAGGCTCCCCGCAAGTGGCACAACACACTACGTATGACTCTTGGAGTGCTTAACTTCTTTCCGTTGGCTGCCAACCCGTCGCTGATCGTACGTCGTACCTCGAGCCCGTTCTTCATTCCGGTTTACGTTGATGACCTGGTCGTTGCCACTCCCGACCAACGTGCACTGGCCTCCGTGAAGGAGGAACTGCAGAGGAGACACACTTACACTGACATTGGTGAGCTGTAGATCACCAGAAACAAGGCAGCTCGCACCATTATGCTGATGCAGTCGCATAAGGTCGAGCAGGTCCTCACGCGGTTTTGCTTCCCGTTCCCTAAGGTACACCTCACCCCCTCTTGCTGTGGATTATGGGAGCATTACTCCACCTTTGGTTAAGTCATTTGAGCTTCATCTTCGGCTTGTGTGTTGTCTCATGTACCTTATGATTTGTACTTGCCCAGACCTAGCTTTCCCTTTTAGCATCATTGAGCACTTTTATTGCACCTGGGAAACATCAACTGGGCCGCGAAGTATGTGGTGAGCACATCAGATCTGCGACTTGTCCTTAGAAGGAAGCAGCCAGTTACACTCACAGGTTTCTCATACTCATTGTAGGCGGACTGTACCCAGATGTACAGGACTTCAAATGTGCTTAGCCTTGGGGCCAGGGCTGTTTCGTGGAGGTCGACCCGGGCGTTGTCCGTCGCTACCTCCAGTTGTAAGGCATAGGTGTACGCTGTCCAGGAGCTTCATTGGCAGTCTTGCCTCCTCACCGACCTTGGTGAGCAGCCTCTCTCTCCTCCAGTCTTGTTCGATGACAACAGGCTGTTGTCCTGATGTGCAAGGAGCTCCGACTAGTTGGGAAGGCGAAGCACATCCAGCTTCGTCCTTCGCGAGTTGCAGCAGCTAGGCCAGGCACTTGTGAGACGTGTGGTCTTTGAGGCCAACACCGCAGATATCTTCACCAAGGCGTTAACGCCTAGTGACCACCAGCGTTTCTGCACCCAGCCGGGCCTTGTGTCTACAAGTCCTCACTTTCTTGTGTAGAGATGCTTTGTCTTGTACTCTTGCATCTCACTGTATTTGCTTTATCTCTGCTTGTGGACTGGCCTTGTGGCCCCTTACTTGTCACTGGTCGCCACGCGCGACCCATCTCCAAGTAAGCAAGGGGTCACCTGAGATTGGAGACCACCTTGCCACCTTCGCACGGACGCTTAGTTGTGGACTGTACACACTGCACGCTGCGTCCCATCCAGTAATGCGTTAGGTCAGGTAGCAGTATCATGCTCGTGTCGGTTTCTCATGCACTGGTCTCTCCTGTAGCACCACCGTCTTGGTCACCCCTCCCTTCAGCGTCTCCGCGGCATGCACTCATGTCACCTTGTTTATGGCCTCCCGCAGAACATGCCCCCGCTCTCGCCTTCGCTTGCACCGCCGTACATTCCCTGCATCAAGGGGCGGTATCGCGCCGCTCGTAACTCCTCCTCGTCCTCCCGACCACTGCTCCTCTGCTGACGCTGCACCTGGACGTGTGGGACCCCGCCCCCGTCTCTGGGCCGCGCCGAGAGCGCTACTTCGTGCTGGTCGTGGACGACTTGACGCGCTACACCACAGCGTTTCCCTTGCAACACAAGAAAGACACCCGTGTTGTTTTCATACCATGGATCCGCGCTGTTCCGCAAGACCTTTTGATGCTCCGTTTGCAGACTTGCTATGGTGGTGACATGAGAAGGGCACCACCCACTCGTTTATGCTTGCGGCCTCTTTACACCAGAATGGGATTGCTGAGCGCCGCATTGGCTTGATCATGGAGGTTGCTCGCACCTCCATGATCCATGCGGCTGCTCCCAATTCTTTGTGGCCGTTTGCGGTCCGGTACGCCGCGCATCAGCTCAACCTCTGGCACCGTGTCTCACAGCCAGAGGCCTCGCCTACCCTCCTTTGGACAGGGGAGGTGGGCAATGCATCGTTGTTTCGGGTCTTGGGCTCGCTTGCCCTTATTCGCGAGCCCACCGCGGACAAGCTCTCTCACCGCACTATTCGCTGCGTCTTCCTTGGCATTCCCACCGACGCTCCAGTCAGGCAGCTTTACCACCCAACCACATGTCGTGTCCTTTCCTCCTGTGATGTCACCTTTGACGAGTCAATTTGCTAAGCCCCTCTCTACCCCCACCGCATCTGCCCCCGCCTCTCTTCCCGGTACCCAGTCCGCCCCAGGTAGACCCCCTACCCTTCCGTCCCGTTCCTTCAAGTGTGTCGCACGTCACCCCACTCCCTCGGTTGTGCCTGGAGCTCTCCTCCAACTCCTCTGGCCCAGCTGAGGGGGTTGACCCTGCTGCTGACAACACAACGGCATCTCGCCGTCCGCCACGCTTGGAGAAACCTCCGGGTTTTCTGCCTCATATGTCTTTGCCTCCTCTACAACCTATCGTTGTGAACCCCGTGGGCCCTACTAGTGCTGTTGGGGGTGGTGACGCTGGGGGTTACTGGTTCAAGGCGTGCTGCTTGGGGTGCTGGGGGTCCTCTTGTTGGTGGGGTCGAGGGTGTTGCTGCTAGAGTTTTTGGGGGTGCGTTGCAGCCACTACCGCAGCGGCCGTTGTTCTGAGAGCAGCATTCGTCGTCGCTGCCACTTCCTAGTGCTGCTGCAGGAGGTTTTGGGCGTGCTGTTTCTAGAGGTCCTGCCGCTAGGGGTGTTGGCGGTACTAGTGCTGGAGCTGGAGGAGCTGTAGTTGGAGATGCTGGAGCTGGAGGTGCTGGAGCTGGAGGTGCTGGAGCTGGAGGTGCTGGAGCTGGAGGTGCTGGAGCTGGAGGTTCTGGTGCTCGAGCTGAAGGAATGACTTTACCTTAGCGAGTTATTCGGTTAAGCAAAGCTACTGGATGTATCGCAATTCTCACTCTTCTAGAACAATCAGTTCTCGATCGCCATACCAAAAAAAGTGAGGTTTTGCCAATCGGACCAAACACATCTCGCTACGTTATTTTTTCATCAAGGACGAAATTGAGCAAGCAAGTTACAGCTCGTCTACTGCCCCACAAACAAAATGGCTGCGGTTTACTTGACCAAGCGACTACATCGACCGAAATTTCAGTACTGCATGCTGCTGACTAGGCTTGGCCACGTTAGCGATAGCACCGACAACATCGAACTCCTGAATTGAAGGGGAGTGTTGGAGTGATTAGATTAGATTAACTTAATCAACTCAGTAGTTCGATCATTAGAGTAGTATCATAATATTTTATATCAGTGTGTTACTATAGCAGGTGTGCCTTCACATGAGTTACATGCAGTAGCGCGAACAGTCACGTGACTGTTTGCATGACACTGGAAAGTACTGCTTCATGAGTCGATCCTAGCTCTATACACGAATAGGTACATCATCGATAGGTACATTGCGATATTGCTTCATTATTACCAATTCTTGTTTATCATTCTAACAGTACATGAATTCTGCTGCACAATTGCTGTTATAACCAAGGAATCAAAGTGGACAGGATAAGTCTGCTAAGTCTAGATGAAGACAATAAAGTCATTATGGTAACCTTGCTGATAAATTTGAGAGAGAACATGACAGTTATAAAATAGGAGTACAAGAGATTACATAGCAAACTAGCTAGCCATATACTTTGAGGGGCCCATTCCTTTATTAACTGTATTGCAGAACAACAGTAACCACGACTATTGCCATTCTCGACAATTACCATGTTGCAGCGATTAACTGCCGTGCGGTTACTGGTTGGTCAAGGGTCACGACCATTGACTGCCTTTGACTGTTGACCTTCGGGTGACTCTAGATCTTCCGCATGCTGTATATGAGCTATTGCAGTATTGGTACAGTGCGTTGTTCTGTTAAGGAATAATGCGTTGGTGGGAGACCTTCTGGAATGCTTATAATAACCTTTCGGTTAATCCAACATTCCTCTTCATTCCTAAAGGTGAGCCACGTAAGACTTCTTGGTGATCCCGCAGAAGTCGGCGCAGTGCTGGAACTGTTGTCATGGCAGTTTTTTTGTCAGAAAGTCATCTGCTACGTCACCGGTTGGATAGTACGTAAGTTTGATCCTCCCCTTGTCGATTTTGTCTTTGACGAAAAAGTAACCGAGTGCGATGTGCTTCGACCGGTTTACGAAGCCGGGCTTGTTCGCGATCTTGATCGCGCTCTGATTGTCGCAGAGTAACGTGAAGTGCCCATTCATCGTTAGTTTTGCTTCCTGTAGGAGCTCCATCAGGTACAGTCCTTCGTGAACAGCAGTACTGGCGGCGATGAACTCGGCTTCAATTGACGAAAAAGCAATGAGTTCCTGCTTCTGGAAGTTCCAGGAGCGTCTGTTGTCAATATCTACTGCGTGGTTTGCGTCTACGTAGCCATGGAGCTGTAGGGTAGCGGTGAGGTTAGCTTCATAGGTGAGTCCGACGTCAGGAGTAGAGATGAAGTATTGAAGTGGTCGGCGTAGGTCAAAAATCATCTCCCCTTCAGGTCGTTTCAGATACTGTTCGAGCTAGTTTGCGACTCCACAGAACAGTAGACACCACGGCTGCTGCTGATAGAGCCGATGTTCGTCGTTGGAAAGAGGTGTGGTATCCGGCTCGTGATTAGGAGGAGGAGTGCGGTAGGGAGTGATGAGGTTGATTGGGGCGACGGCGAATATCTTCGCAAGGGTTTCCGGGTATTTGGCGGCGGAAAGGTGGATGGAGGTGACGGACGGAGTGATTGCGTGACCCAGGAACTGCGTGACATTGTGATTGATCATCACTTCTAGCTTCTCCTGGATATTCAACTCGAATTGATCGAGCAGCTCCGTGTCGTCGCTGGTGTAGAGGAGGTCGTCGGCGGACAAGGAAAATGAACTTGCCGCGCGACTCCCTCCTATACATTCCGAGATCATGAGGCAGCTGAGCAAAGCCGAGCTCCAGAAGGACGGTCTGCAGGTACTGCTGCCATAGACGGGGCGCCTGTTTAGTCCCATAGTGGGATTTCTCGAGAAGGCAAACGGCACCGTCGCTTTCTTCGAGACATGAGGCTGCTCGACGAAGATGATGGCATCGACGGGGGCGTACAGGAATGCGCTTCTAACGTCGATTTGACGGAGTGGCCGCCGCTCGACAGCTGAGATGCAGATGAGGATGCGCACCGAGATGTGGCGTCCGACAGGCGCGTAAGTAAGAGTGAAGTACACCAGGTGCGTTTGTTCGAAGCCGCGTACCACCCATCTCGCTTTGCACTTGTCAATGGAGCCGTCCGCCAAGGTTTTGATGCGGAAGACCCACTTGCCGTTAAGAATTTTCCTCCCCTTGGCTAATAAGCGAGGGACCAGTTTCCATGTTCCACGGCTTTTCAGCACCACAACTTCTGCAGCCATGGCTGCCTTCTATTTCTCACTGTCGCGGCCAGACAAGGCTTGGCGAACAATGGTGGGTTCCTTGGGGGAGGCGTGGCGAACAGCTACAGTGAGTCCAAGGATGCGCAGACCAGAATTCTTGGTCTTTTCGTAGTGGAGGCGATCGTAGTCGTGGAAGCTGGTAACCTCGACGACGCCGTCGTCGCTTTCGTTGCCGAGACGGAGGGTGTCGTGCGAGGTGTTCGGTGGTGGTAACTCGGCATCCGGGGATACGCGTGCCTCACTGTTGTAGTTGTGGGCTTCGCGAGTTATATCATCGGGGTCGAATTGGTGTACAGGTATGAATGTTGGAGTTTGAAGTAGGCTTGTAAGTGGAATGCGCGGGGCGGCGTCCAATGGTGTGACATCAGCTGCGTCTGCGTCTTCTGCCAGATCAGCTTCATCGTATGACGTGGCGAAGCTGCGATGCCCCTCGAAAACCCTTTCCGGTGCCTTTTCAGCTTCTCGGTATTCCTTGAACAGTGGTAGAGTCAGATTATCGTAGAAGATGCAGTCACGTGATTTCGTCACCTCGTGTGTCGCGTAGTCCAGCACGATCCACGCCTTGTACTCCTTTTCGATCCCAAGGTGGAAGCCCCACCACGCCCGGTCAGCAAATTTTTCGATCCTTGCTGTGTGGGGCATGTACTGTACCATGCAACCGAACACTGGAAGCAGACGTGTATCCGCGTTTCTGCCTGTCCATGCCCTGTAGGGAGAATTGTTGTTCTCGAGGCTTTGGGACAACAGCAATTTGTGAAGTCGAACAGCATGGTTCATCGCAAACGGCCTAGTGCTATCAGGGCCCTCATCCTTGTGGGGAGGCTCCTGTTTGACTGTTCTGCTACTTCTTGCCGCTTGTGAGCGTAGGGCAGGGACACCAGGTGCTCAATCCCCTTCTACTTGAAGAGTTCCTTGAACTTAGTTGAGAAGAACTCCAAACCACTGTCCGTCTGGTAGCTTTTCAGCTTCAGTCCAGATTAACGCTCAGCCCGCTTAATCCACGCCACAAAGCATTCAAAGGCGAGGGAGCGATATTCGGTGTTGACGGCCCAGATGTAGCATATGCATGTGTCGATTAAAGCGAGCGTGTAGTGTTCACCCGTGATTGAGAATAATGAAGTTACTATAGACCTTATCCCGGGGGTAAATCGTGAAAGGGCTTGTGGGTGAGTGACGCAATTGGGCACACGGTATATGGCGGATCTCCTCGAGGTAGAAGCAGTGCCCCGTCGTCGAAGACTCCGGCCTTGAGTGAGTTTTTGAGCGTAGCATGTGAAGGGTGCCTGGGTCGCTGATTCCATGTTTCAGGTTCCGCGCGGTATCCAACAGTCTTTTGATAATATTTGTGTCGTGCTGCTGCGTCGTTATGCTCCTTTTCAGGTCCCGTGTCGGTGGCGGCGTCGGCGTCAGTTGCGAAGGCTCGGACGGAGTTTCGTTCCAGAAGGGCACGGGGAATTCCGATGATGTCATCTATGTCAGCGGTGTGAACTTGCTCGTCGATGACGAGCAGATGCGAAGATGATGGTGCGTCGGGCCAGTGGGAGGCGGGGAGTTCTTCCATCAGGATTCGAAAATAACTTTACTCGTCATCGATGAGTTCAATCTATTGTGGCCCTAAATCTGGTGACGGCGGCTCCTCGGTAGGTTCCGGTAATTCCGCTGCTTCCTCGAGGGACTCATAGGTTGCTTCTTCTGAATCCTCCGCTGTGGGCTCTGGTGTGTCAGGTGTGTATTCGTTAGAAAGAGGAGGTCCACCCCAACTGATGCCACGAGTTGCCCAGTACGGGTCGACTGCCGCGACATCTGTAGGAGGAAGTCCCGTAGCTTTGGGATATGTGGGATTTGATTGGCCCCACCCTCCTCAAGTTGAGGTTCCCCAGCCACCTCCAGTGGCGGCGCCCGCTTCTGTCGTTGGAGCAGCGCCCCAACCACCCGCAGCTGCTTCTCCTAGTGTTAGGCCCCATGGCCCGAACGTGGGGCCGGGACTACCCCATCCCGTTTCAGTTGCTCCGCTTCCTCCGGTGTTTGGTTCTGCATGTGCTGACGTGCCACTGTCTTCGTCCTCTTCCATTATGGAAGGTCCGGTGTCAGCGGGATTGGAGGTTGAGGTAGCCGGGACGGTGCGCAGTCGCAGAAGGCCATCGGAGGTGGGCCCCTAGAGATCCATTTCCGCGGGATGTGACCAGGTTGGCGGCTCTGAGGAAGTTGTTTTCAATAGCAGAGTGTGGTAAGAGTCCCTCGTGGTGCCCTGCACCGAGAACTGTAGCAGGAAGACTCCGTCGTCATCGATAGCATTGCCAATGTAAGAGTTGTTGTAGAATAGCCCGAAGGCCTTTTCCTTGCAGTTGCTACGGATACCGCTTCGCACCGCATGAGTTGAGCCGAGGAGAGCATGTTGTACTGTTCCGGGGCGACCAGCACATCTCCAATATGAATGGTGAACTTCGTGTCATCAGGTTCTAGGTAAAC